TGTGGGGGGCGGGCGCGCGGGCGGCGGCCGGGGCTATGGCCGAGGGCGGCGGGGGCGCGCGGAGGAGGGCGCCGGCGCTGCTCGAGGCGGCCCGCGCGCGCTACGAGAGCCTGCACATCTCCGACGACGTGTTCGGCGAGTCGGGCCCGGACAGCGGCGGGAACCCCTTCTACAGCACGTCTGCCGCCTCGCGCTCCTCCTCGGCCGCCTCCTCGGACGACGAACACGAGCGCCCCGGCCCCCCGCCGCCGCCCGGCGCCCCGGACGCGCAGGAGCCGGAGGAGGACGAGGCTGGCGCGGGCTGGAGTGCCACGCTGCGGGACCGCCCGCCCCCGCGCTTCGAGGACACCGGCGGTAAGGCGCGGCCCACGGGGGCGGGGGCGGCCCGGGGAGGCGGGAGCGCGGGGCCGGGAGAACTCCAGGCGCTCGGTGGGCCGGCCGGTCGGTTGTTCCTATCAGCACACAAATGGGGTCGCGGCAGCGGGGATTTGAAGTGCGAGAATCAGTCTGACTGCGTGGGGGGGGGGCTCCGACTTGCCCGCGGGTGGAGAGGATGAGGCGGAGGCCGGGGCCAGCACCCTGCCGCTGGCAAAGACGGGGGGGGGGGGGGGGCTTCCCTCACTCGCCAGGAGTGTCCAAGCCAGTCACACCTGTGGGGTCGCACTTAGGGGTGCGTTTGAGTTAGGGTTTACTAGTTGAAGGGATTCTGCAAACCTGACGCGGCTTGTATGTGTGTTGCGGGGGGGGGGGGGGGGCGCGTAAATCATCCTGTATTGATGGCCCCAGAGCAGCCTTACCCAGGTGCCAGGGGTGGGGCAGGTAGCCTTTGGAGGGAGGCCCCGTGAGAGCCTCTGGAGAGGCCACCCCAGGGCGTCTTCACTGGCTCATGTTTTCTCTAGTTAATCTGAGAAACTTTGTCCGTGCCTTTCAGGATCACTTGCTAAGAGCAGGGAAGAGTGAAAGGACAAGTTTAGCAGCGTTAAGGAGGAGGCTCTTGCGTCAGAAGGCACTTTCATGTGTGTTCAGCTTACCGACACGGTCATGGTCAAGCCCCTGATATCTGGAGGTCGCAGGAGTGCTGGCAGCTGAGGCTGCTGGAGGTCCTCTTTTACTGCCTCCTTTTTCCGGAGGTGGTTCTAAAACGTCTCTACTTAACCCTGCAGAAGCTCTGTGGCCTCTGTGGCCTCTGCCCTCTGGGAGAGGTGGAGACTAGCCAGCAGTTTCCACCTGTCCCTTGATGCTTTTTGTTCCTTGCTCAGCAGCCCTCTGTGGCAGGCCCTTGTTTCTGCACACCATTTCTGTGTGTGGAAGAGTGTGCAACCGGTGTTGTTGAGGACCAGGGAGTGGCCGTACTGGGCATGATGCGGCTTTTCCTGTGGCTCTCCCTGACTGTTGTTCAGCCGCAGGAGGGCAGGCCCAAGGGACCCCTGGCTGGTGCCTGGGCTTGGATCTGGACATGGTGCTGCAGCCTGCTGGTAGGCTGCTTGGGTTGGCTGGACTCTCTCAGCAGGGAGTGGTCTGCCAACCTCCCACAGGCAGGCTGCAGTGTGGACACCCTGAGCTACAGCTGGGCTCGCAGGGTCCAAGTTAACTGTGCAGTGTTTTGGAATGGTTAAATTTAACAGCATGTTCTCATTTAGGCTTTGGTTAAGAGTTTGGGAATTTTCAAAGTCACTCTGCATAATCCTTTTAAACCTCCTACATTTTCCAGAATGTCATAAGGGTTTCCAGCCCCAGATGGCTGTTTTCCATTAAATTAGCTCTTTAAGAATTGTACATACCCAGAGCTCTGGTTTGGCAGACTTGATGCTATGAGTGCTGTGATCCAGTTTTTGATCTTGGAACATGAGATACATGTCCTCTTGTTTCCCTACCTCTCCCGGGAAAATAGGAGAATTGTGTTAGCTTAAGCCTGATTATGAATAAGATCCATGAGTGTGTTGGTGTGAGAAGGATGAACGCACCTAAATGAATTTTCAAGCAATATAATGTCTCTTAGTAACCTATACTTCGGAGAAATTCTGCATCAGAGCAATATAATCTAGCCACTGCAGCACTTAAATGTTCATGAAGTGCAGGATCATATGTCATTTAGCATTAGGTTCAAATTCTGCTTCCTTCGGATGTTCACTGAGCTCACACCTGGACCTGAGAATCACAGGCAAGCGCTTTAACCAAAGACATTAGTGGTTATTTGATGGTATCTATACCCAATTTTGTTTTCCGGTTTTGTGTGGAAGCTTGCTTTTAATATCCAGCCCTGATGAAGAATTTCCTTTCTTCCTTGAAACAGTCGTTCCCTGAGGGAAATTTGGGATGGTGGTGGAGGGGTGAGGTTGATGGCTTATTAAGTGTGAGTTCAGATTGCCTGAAACAATGGGATATGATTTATGGGGGCTGAAAATAGATGCTGGGCAGAGAAAACCCTTGTGCCTGGTGGGGGGGCGGGGGGAAGAGATGGACACGTTTATTAAGAGGCTGAGAGCTGCACCCTGGCCACTCTGAGAGCAAAGAGGTTCAGGCTCTGAGGTTTTTTCAAAGTGTAGAATCTAACCCCACTTTGAAGGAATGCAGCTTGGGCCTTTCTTCCATCTTTGTTCCCTGGTTTGTTGACAGACCTCACTTGGCCAGTGGGGTAGGATAGGGAGGCAAGCAGGAGGGTGGCATTTTGATCTGTAATCAGCCCTCATAAAAGAAAATCTGTAGCAGAAATGGCTGTTGCTGCTAGAATCAGATGAGGAAAGCAAAGGATTCTACACTTAGGGAACAGGCTTCCTGCCTGCCTTCTGCTGTAAAAGCAGGTGTATGTGTGTAAATAAGTGAATATGTATGTGTGTGACTGTGTCTTACGGGTAAATCTCTATTGCTTGTGCTGGTTTGGGCTGGTTGGGGCTTTTTGGGTTTTTTTTTTTTTTAATTAGAGATTACAGCTGCTGTCTGGGAGCCCTCTGATGACCTAGAGTCCCTGTGTGTGAGAGAGGTGGAGGCATTGGGCACCACTGAGCTTTGATCTGCACTTGGAGTGCACATAGTAGGGAGACACTTGGTGCCCAGCTGAGGGGAGGGGAGGAGGGCAGACAGGCAGAGGCATTTCTGTGGTTCAGGTTGAGACTCCTCCGCTAGCTGTTCTTCTAGTCTTGCCAGACTCTTCCTTCTGTTTTGTCCATGTATTTAGCTTCCTGGATCAGGCGCTCCAGAAGTGCCGCCAACAGTTATTGGTAGAGGGGTCCTCTCCTTCACCCCCTTCTTTCACCTCCCCGGGTTCTGGTTGTGCTTGGAGATATGGGTCCCCTTGAGATGATTTAAATACAAAGACCATGCTTGCGGGGCTGGCTGACGGGCTCTTAACCCCTGTGTGAATGGAGGGTCAGCCTGGGAGCTGGAGATGCTTGCTGGGAGCCCAGGGCCCAGAACCTTCTCATCAGACTTGCAGCTCTCTCTCTAAAATAGCCCCCTCAAGCTGTCAGCCTCGCCTGCCCACTGTGCAAATAACCGACACAGCATGTAAGCTCACTCTTTGGAAGCAGCATGAAATTCAGGCCGGCTGCTTTTTGGGCTTCTGCCCTTTTGGTTTCTTATTCTGAGCAGTCTTGTGATTCGTTCTCTCTGAGGAGGCAAAGGAACAGGCAGATTCACAGATGCTCAGGGGCTCCCGCGTGTTCGGCTTTGTCGATCCTTTGTCGTGGCTGGCTGGGATCTGTGCTGTTTGCTTTTTCTATTAGAGGCTAGACTTCATAGGAGTGTGTTCTCCGTGTACATGTGTACATGTCAGGAACCCTCGGGAGGTATGACCTTGAGAAGCTGGAGAGGACCACAGGGCTCTGAAAATTAACATTGTGAAATGTTTTGTCTTAGAGTTTGTTGTTGATTTATTTGGCCTGAAGTCTTTTTTGACTAACAAGTAAGAGGAGAAAAATCTTTCTCTTAAAGCCAGAGTTAAACGGATACTCTCATAATGGATTTGTGAGTGGAGGTACCTGGGCCCCTGTCGTTGTCCAGGATAAGCAGCTGCACCTTTAGCTCTGTACCACGTTCTGTGGCTCCAGGAGGAACTGGGAGTCTGGGCGAGCTACAAGGTACATCTTATACAGTGCTGCAAAATAATCAAGCATGTGCCACCACCACACAGAATTCAGAGAAGGGAGCTTCCTGGAGAGAGGTTCTGTTCAGGTGGTGGGCATGACGCTGATTATAACCAGGGGTCCCATTCATAGCATGCTTTTCCTCATCGTGCCGAACCTTCGAGAGTACTCTGAGAGAGCCAGTATCACCTCCACTTTACAGAGAAACACAGATAGGTCTTTTCAGTCAGGGTCTCGGGCGATGAGATTACCTGGTGAAGTGGTAGCCTTCTAACTAAGCAGACTTGATCGTTCAAGGAAGGTCGTGCCTTTTTATTTTTTTCTTTACAGCATCTAAAACCTTTTTCAGTCAGAAATACTTCCATATTTTTACGTGGAATTGCTTTTAACTTTTTTTGGGCGATATGCAGTTCTGTGCGGTTTAAGGCATGTATGGATTTGTGTAGCCAATCCCCACAGTCAGATAGGAGACAGAAAATCTAGAATTTTATCTCTTTATTTAATCCCTGCTACACCTCAGCCATTGTGATGAGAGTTTAGAGTGTTTCTGCAGGTAGCAGGGCTTTGAATACATTGGGAATCTGGGGGTTGTGTGGGGTCTGGTACTCAGTTTTAAAGTAGAAAATTCACCTTTATTTTTAAGAAGTGTGATTATATATTTTTTTTCTTATTAATAAGTAATATATGTACATGTTAGGGAAAAAATGATAAAATTTTAAGAAATCCCATAATCTCTCATTACCCTAGATAATCATAGTTAATTATATTGAGTATATCGTTCATGTATCTTAGATTACATCTTGTTGGGTGACCTGCTTTTTAATTGTAATTAATATATTGTAAACATTTTCCATTTAAATTTTCAAGTGTCAGTTTTAATGAGTCCATGATGTTACACAAGTTCCCTCTGGATAGGTGTTGAGTTCATTGCCCCTTCCCCCTTATATTTATTATGCTACGATAAATATTCCTGAAGCTTAGGTTTGTGTGCACATCCTTAGCACATTCCTTAGCATAAAATGATCCAAACAGAATTGAATCAGGACACACTGTAAGGTTTTTGATATCTGTGGTGAAATAGCCTTCCAGAAATGCACACTCCTGCCGGCAGTACACCAAAAAGGCTTAGAAGGTCTTGCTTAGAGGACCCACCAAAGTGCGTGACTCCTGCTGGTAGGGTGCTCTTAGAGGACCGATGCATTTAATAAAGCTTCTTGAGGTGTAACACACATAGAGCTCATGAGTCGTAGTGCACAGCTCAGTGCGTACACC